GAGTCATTGAAACAGAACCCACCATTGTTAGTTGGGTTCTACCTGTATACAATCCTGGTTAATAAGCACATGCTCAGGGTTCTAATCCTGACTTTGCCACATACTGTCTGGGAAATTCTGGGCAAGTGACCCAGACTCTCAGTGCCTCTCTGTTTCCTTCTCTGTTAAAGGAGGACAATAATAGTGTCTAACTCATGAGGTTGCTACGAGGGTTAAGAAGTTTGCATATGTAACGTGCTTTGCACAGTGTCTGCCACATTGTAGGCGTTATTTTATTGTTAAATAAAAGCTCAAGGACTGTTTGCTAGTTAGCTATTGTGGTTCTTTAAAAGAACCCTAAAAATAAATTAGATTGTTTCTGAACTGTAAGGACTTTTTTAAAACAGCAGTGTCCAATTTGCTATACCCAGCTTGTGCCTAAGGAGGTGTGTGATTGGTAGAAGGGAAATCTAGGAGAAAAATTCAAACAAGACCGATGACATTCGAGCCATGGGGACGTCTCCCTGATCAGCTTCAGCAACAGAAGCTTTAGGGGATTGTTGGAGCTAGATTCAGAGAAACTAATATTTTCACTTGATTTCCTTGTTGTGTATTTATTTTTGGAATAGACTCATAGACCAACACTAGAAATAGGTCTGAAATAAACGCCATGTTTTTCTCTCTCACCCTCCTTTGCTGCCTGGACCATGCTACATAGCTGCTAATATTGATGAGCCCACATTTTATTGAAATAAAGATTTTTTAGGCTATGCAAACTCAAGATGCTAATACTGCCAAATGTAGTGTATTCAACATATAAACCGGTGGTAAGGGAAAAAGGAATAAAAGCATGTTCTGGCTTCAGAAGCTTGAGACATATTGTCCAAGCACGACATACCCTGCTCTCCCCTTCAAGTTGCAAGTCACTGGGCAAGCTTCTTAACTTGTCTGAGACACAGTTTCTTCATCAGTAAAATGGGGATAATAATAATATGTACTCTGTGGGGGTGGTACCCTGTTGGAGTGCTACCCTATGGGGGTGCTGTGAGACTTGGTTAACTCATGTTGTATGAGTGTCCTAAGGCTGTTGTAACAAAGTACCATAAACTGGGTGACTTAAAACAACAGAAGTTTATTGTTTCAAAGTTCTGGGGGCTAGAAGTCCCAAATCAAGTCTCATCAGGGCCATGCTCTCTCTGAAGGCTCTAGGGGTAGAACCTTCCTAGTTTCTGGTGGTTCTTGGCAGTCCTTGGAGTTCTTTGGTATATAGATGCATCACTCCAGTCTCTGCCTCTGTCTTCACATGGCTGTCTTCCCTCTGTGTCTGTCTTGCTGTGTCACTTCTGCCACATCTTTCTCCCGAGGAGTCACTGGTGGTTTCCAACTGCCAACCTTCAAGTTAGCAGTCAATTGCTTTACCCACTGCGCCACCAGGGCTCCTTAGGACCCAGACAGTGCTCAGTAAATATAACTTTTTAAAATATTACTTCTGTTCATGAAAATCTAATGTATCAAAGTCAAAATAATAAGTTTACATATAATGGGGAAGTTCCATTCATTTATAAAGAATAGAAAATATTGTATAAATAAATAACTATGTAATATATGAAGTATTATAAAATCTTTAATTACAAGTTGCTTTTTAGACTACATCTCTGATAATTTATTTCCGGCATTTTTATTTATTCCACCCCTACTATTGGATATATGTCTGACTTGCTTACTCCAGTGAACATCAAGTGAACCTCACTGCATTTGACATGCTGGATGATTTTCATTTTTTTAAACAATTATATTTGTTTTATAAGATCTGTGTTTCTTACTGTTGTTGTTATTGTTCGGTGCCATTGAGCTGGTTCCAACTCATAGCGACCCTATGTGCAAACAGAACGAAACACTGCCCGGTGCTGCGCCATTCTCACAGTCGTTGTTATGCTTCAGCCCATTGTTGCAGCCACTGTGTCAATCCATCTTGAGTGTCTTCCTCTTTTTCGCTGACCCTCTACTTTACCAAGCATGATGTCCTTCTCTAGGGACTGGTCCCTCCTGATAACATGCCCAAAGTGCATGAGATGAAGCCTTGCCATCCTAGCTTCTAAGGACTACTCTGGCTTGTACTTCTTCAAAGACAGATTTGTTCATTCTTCTGGCAGTCCATGATGTAATCAATATCTTTGCCAACACCATAATTCAAAGGCATCAATTCCTCTTCAGTCTTCATTACTCGTTGTCCAGCTTTCACATGCATATGAGGCGATTGATGATACCATGGCTTTGGTCAGGCGCGCCTTAGTCCTCAAGGTGACATCTTTTCTCTTTAGCACTTTAAAGAGGTCTTTTGTAGCAGATTTGTTCAATGCAGTACGTCGTTTGATTTCTTGACTGCTGCTTCCTTGGGTGTTGATTGTGGATCAAAGTAAAATGAAATCCTTGACAACTTCAGACTTTTCTCTGTTTATCATGATATTGCTTATTGAACAAGAAGAACTTCCTGATTATTTGTGTTTTCTTTATGTTGAGCTATAATCCATACGGAAGGCTGTAGTTTTTGATCTTCAGCAGTAAGTGCTTCAAGTCCTTTTATCATTAGTAGTAGTAGTTTTTTAGTATTTAAAAAATAATGTATAACTTTCTACAATTTTAATAAATGAATCAGGATAAAATACTAAAATAAAAATCCAAATCACTACATAGACATAAGTTGTTATATAGATATAGGCAGGTATGCTCTTGATACAGAACTCGGCCAGCAGGCAGCACCACTCTCCTGTAATTTTAGATGTTGTTTATTAGCTGATATACGAAATATCAGATCAGCCTGGGAAAGACAGCTTAGATGTGATCTTGAATAATGTAGAAAAATGTGGGCTCTCTGACTTTTGAACACACGAACAAGAAGGATTTCCTGTACTTGAATTAGAAAGAATTTCCGTTAACCAAGATTTCCCTGGCAAAACAAAGATCCCAGATGTTTATTAAAAAGTATTCAAGAACAGAACAAAAATACTTAGTTTCATACAAATTACCTGGATCATAAGGTTTAAAAAGAAGAAAAAAAAAGCACCTTTTTTTAAACATCTCTTTAACATTTCTTTTTCATCTTTTTAACTTGGAATAAAACATGATTTCACTTACATCATTAACAATTTAGATCTGAATTTTCCAGACTATCCTTGGTGCTTGTCATAGATTGAATTATTTCCCCCCAAAATATCTGTCAACATGGCTAGGTCATGATTCCTAGTATTGTATGATTGTCTACCATTTTATCATATGATGTGATTTCCCTATGTGTTTCAAACTCTATCACTATAACGTAATAAGATGGATTAGCGGCAGTTATATTGATGAGGTCTACAAGATTAGGTAGTGTCTTAAGCCAATCTCTTTTGAAATATAAAAGACAGAAGCGAGCAGAGAGACATGAGGACCTCATACCACCAAGAAAGCAGTGCCTGGAGCAGAGCGCATCCTTTGGATCCGGGGTTCCTGCGCAGAGAAGCTCCTAGTCCAGGGGAAGATTGATGAGAAGGACCTTCTTCCAGAGCCGACAGAGAGAGAAAGCCTTCCCCTGGAGCTGACACCCTGAATTTGGACTGATAGCCTACTTTACTGTGAGAAAATAAATTTCTCTTTGTTAAAGACATCCACTTGTGGTATTTCTGTTAGAGCAGTACTAGATGACTAAGATAGTGCTGTTCTCAGTGATTAGCAATGGAGAGCTACTTGTTGCTCTGCAACAAGAGTCGTGGTATTTACCAAGCGGTCTTGGTCAGCCAGGCATATGCCCCTGTTGGGCATACAGTGGTGGCTCATTACTCACGGAGTCTGTATTTGTAACGCAAAATCAGTATTCATGGCACTTGTACAATCATTCGTGGACACGCACAGAGCAGTGAAAAATTTCAGTTGCTCGATGTGCACGTTTCCAGCTGAGGTTGAGCAGTGCAACACTCTTTCTTCTTGTTTCAGCTCTCATACTGTAAACCAGTGTCCTTTTTGTGGTCTATTTATGCCATGTTTTCTGCATTTTGTGCTTTTTGTTGGTGGTTTCACTGTTCAAATGCCCTCCAAGCACGAAGGCTGTGATGCGCTTTACAGAGAAAATGTGTGTATTAGATAAGCTTCATTCAGGCATGAGTTATAGAGCTGTTGGCCGTGAGGTCAGTCTTGATGAATGATAAGGTATCTTTAAACAGAAACACACATAAGACAAGTTTATGTATTGATCAGTTGACAAAAATATTGTGACCAGAGGCTTGCAGGACCTAACCCTGTATTTGCAGTGGTTCAGTATTCACTAACTCAGCGTTGCAGCAACTTTATATAACGTAACTACTGAGGATAATGAGAATCTACTGTATTTGTAACTATTGCCATGTCTTCATGGTGCTCAGCACTGTGGGTGGTGACCATAAGGCCATACACACTCCTTGGGAGGAGACAGTTGTCAGGAACCTGTGGGCATCTGAATTTTATCAAGTATCTGTGCTCAAAAGGCTTGTCAACTATGCAACCCCTCGTGGTTCACAAAGCCCATTGACAGGTGTGGCCTTAATTAATCCTCACAAATGAGGGTAAAATGATTAAGGTGCAGAGATGTAAACGGCTTCCTCGGAGTCACACTCTACCTTAAATGGCGAAGGTGGGCTTTATGCCAGGTCTTTCTCCCCATATGTTGCTGGTTCCACCATAGCACAACCACCAGAAATACAGCGTTTGCAATGTTTTCTTTTTCCCACAGTGTTGCATGTCTAAGAGGGATCCTATTTCTCCCATCTTCAGCTGACTTTCTCACCCAAGGTATAGAAGCTGCTTTTGCTGAACCTATAGAGCTGTAGAAAGAAGCTCTCCCCTCCTCTACCCGTGTAGGTTTACACCAAGATAGAAAATGTCATCTTTATTTATTATTTGGAGCTCACCCCGTGGTACGTTAGTCTTCAGGAGAGAAACCAGACCAGTGGTGATTGGAGAAATCTGCTGAAGAATTAACAGTATTGAACATTTTGTTTTAATCACAGAATCACGTCAACCCAGCGATGGACTTTACCCAGACTCCTCCTGGAATGTTAGCCCTGGACAATATGCTCTACTTCGCTAAGCACCATCAGGATGCCTACATCCGGGTAAGCACCCAGGGCCCTGTCAGATAGTATAAGTTTTCTACTGAAATTTATTCTCAGACATCTAGGTATGGAGGGACTACTGTGCAAGTAAATATAAATATTAAAAATTTTTTTTAAAAAGTGGCCTCACCAACTCTTCAGACAAAGATTGGACTGGACTGTGGGACATAAAATGACACTCATGAAGAGTGTGCTTCTTAGCTCAAGTTGATACATGAGACTAAATGGGCAGCTTCTGTCCAGAGGTGAGATGAGAAGGCAGAGAGGGTTAGGAGCTGGTTGAATGGACAGGAGAAATCAGGGGTGGAAAGGAGGAGTGTTCTGTCACAGTTTAGGGAGAGCAATTAGGGTCACATAACAATGTATGTATAAATTTTTGTATGAGAGACTAACTTGAAATGTAAACTTTCACTTAAACTACAACAATAAACAAACAAAAAAAGTGGCCTCAGATTTTTGGCTTTTATCACTTAGTAAAATAACAACAAGAAATTAAAGGAGATAAATCAAGAGGACTGCAATAGGGATTTTAACTTTAAAATTTTTTCCATGTGATGACATTTTAAATAATGCAATAGATACTAGAAAAACTTTTATATAGTTCAATATTGAATTATGATAAAAACTCATAAACTTGAAAGACAAGGAATACAAATGAACTTCTATCTACCAAACACCTATTTGCCCTCAACTTTAGTGGACACCCTTTAGACTTATTCTCAAATTTAGAAAGAGGGTTAGCATGCTTCTGGCACTGTTTGTTTCACGTGGTGCTGGAATACAATAAGGTAAATCAAAAGAAAAAAGAGTAGAAATTGGGAGGAAAGAGAATATACCTTTACTCATTTCATAGGTGTTGTTGTAAAATGCCATTGAGTCAATTTTGACTCATAGTAACCCCATGTGACAGAGTAGAACTGCCCCATAGTGTTTTCTAGGCTGTAATCTTTATGGAAGCTGATCACCAGGTCTTTTCTCCCACAGAGCCGCCGGGTTGGGTGTTTGAACTGCCAACCTTTCGGTTAGCATCTGAGCACTTAGCTGTTGTGCCACCAGAGCAACTGAGTGAAAATTTGGTTACTGAGTTATATTAGTTTGTGGGTAGAGCAGGATGCCATCTGCTGATTGGGACATACAGGCATGAGAAAGCCGATGTGTGAGTCCAAAGGCAGCCCAGATGGAGGAGGGGTGAGGTAGATTCCAGATGGGGATGGGGACGGGCATAAATGGGACAAGGGAATTTAAGAGGAGTGGATGGACGAGTGGTTAAAATGATGATTAGATATAAGCTTAAAAAATACTTGATGATAAATTACCTAGAGCAGGAAGAGTGAGGTAGAAATTAAGATAAGAACACTGTCTATTATTCTGGTATTTTCTGCTGGATCCCACTTGGTGGTCCTGGCTTCCAGGAGACCTGTGTTTGAGCCCCGCTGCTGCCATTATTTAGTGCTATAAATGCGGACAATGGCGATTCCTTTTGTCTGGGCTAATGTTTTTGTTGTTGTTGTTTTTCCTGCAAAACAAGGGAGACTTGATGGTCCTCAGCTGGGGCAATATCTCCTTGGGGAGGGTGGGGAGGCATTTTGAAATGTGTGGGTGCATTTTTTTGGTTGCCACCATGCCTAGTGAGGTGCTACTGGTCAAACCTATAATACGCGGGACAGTTGTTCTCAGTGAAGAATTGCCCCCCTCTGCAATGGCCCCCTTGAAAAATGTTGTGCCAGGTCTCTCTGAGTCCCCTTTAGGCACTACATTTTAAATTTATGTGTTTTTTTATGTGTGTGGTTTAGGAAGCTTCAGCCTATTCTGAAATACTATTTGTAATTCGATTGTGTAAAGAATTGTATGGTCATTTCTGTGAAAGATTTGGGATCAGGTCCTTGGTCAGAAATGCAGTCTTCTATAAGGAAATTGTTTCTCCATAAAAGCTTGATTGGCCTATATGTGTGTACATTTCTTACCTGACACTTTTTCTAGGAATGTAATCAGCTTTCATAATAAGTAAATTAATAGTTTTGAGCTGCCTTGTAGTATAGCCTTGGAGAGTTGAGGGTGAAAAGTAGAAGCCAAGTAGAAATTGAATTTAGCACTAACTGATTAATGTTTGTGGATGAATGTTGCTAAAATTAGAGCTTATTGATGCTGACTGTATTGTTAATTGCATAAGAAGCATGTCTCATGAAAAGTAATTTAATGTTTTAAGCTCGTTTTCCTCAATGTGTTCTCAAAACCGTTACAAGTGAAATTAATGCCATGGCAACTGACAGAACTTTATATCTGACAAGGACTTAAAAGAAAAACCTATTTGTAAAGAAAAGAGTGACCTTTTTGTCCACAGGTACTTTCCTTCGTTGGTTAAACATTCCTATAATTTAGATGTCTTTATTGGTTCCTCATAAGTGTTTCTTCCCTATTTTTCTGCGTCCCATCTGATTTTGGGGCATTAATGGATGGACAGCTAAAGCTGTTTACATGAATGGATGGGGTTAGTGGGTCATATGTGAAGTCTGAGGCTTTCTGCAAGGAAGTTTTGAGGTCATTATGAATATGCTTGAGTACTGAAGGCAGGGTGATGTCATCCCAGAGAGCTAATGAACCTCTGATTTGAGCTGAATGGTCTTTTCTGAAACATAGAGATAGATTCATTTTAAAAATTTACATTTTGATAAAGTTTGCTTTTTTTGACTAGGTAAATCTGTCTGAATGCAATTATTCATTCACTGTTTATATCTTTCATTCGATAAATGCTTATTCTGTTTCTGAATATAGCCTCACCATTCACTTAATTTATTAGTCAAATTATGGTTGGATTTTTGAAAGGAAGTGCAAAACACACACACACACATACAAATACTGCCTCTTTGCCCTGAAGCTCCTCACCCACTAACCCAGTCTCTCACGTTCCCTCAAGCACTTTGTAAGCCATATTCTCCCAGGTTGTCCCCTTGCCCTGTCTTCTAACCCGCTTGCCACTCACATTTCAACTCCCTGTACTAAGCTTCTATCCCATCACTTCCCAGAAGCTGATCCCCTGCCAATTATAACAGTAATCCAGAAGGGAAATGATAGTAACCTGAGCTAGGATAGTGATTGTAGCAAGGGAGAGAAGTAGTTTGAATCAAGAATTATTTTGGAGCTAAAATAAACTAGACTTTCCTTAGGAAGAGGGAGATTTCTGGCTGGAGCAACTGGGTGGATGGTCATGTTGTTAATGAAACAGGTCATGCAGGTCTTTGAGGGGGTAGTCATTAGACATATCCAGACCCTTGTATGCATGTGGGCCATCTGTCCAGGTTGAGACATCTAATAGGCCAAGAGATATGGACAGTAGAGCTCAGACCCATATTCCACCTCTATATTCAAACTCTATATTCCGCCTCCTTAAAATGTCTCATATGCATCCCTCCAGCCTGTTCATCTGGATAGTTGCAATTATCTTAATGACTTCCTGCTAAACTCTGGCACCTTCAAACCCATCCTCTATAGCAACTGCTAGGATGATCTTTCTAAAACAGAGTTCAGCATCTTTCAGGGACTACTCCTGGCCCACAAGTGTCTACCTCTTTGACTTTATCCCTTGCTACCCATGCCCCTCTCTCCCTTCTCCATCCTCCCCTCTGTCACCGTGTCTTTCATCCATACCTAACCATGTCAGGCCACAGGCTAGCCAGCCAGATCTCCACCACTGGGCGTTTGCTCACACTATTCCTTTTACTTGAATGTTCTTCCCACACCCTCTGCCTGCTGAATAGCATTCATGGCAAAGATCATCTTCTCTCTGAAGAAGACTTCCTGCCCCTAGCTGGACCATTCCCTCTACCCCTTTTGTACCCTGTGTTATTGTTAGTTGCTGTCAAGTTAGTTGGCTTCAACTCATGGTGACCTTATGTGTAGCAGAACAAAACATTGCCTGGTCCTGCACCATCTTCATGCTCATAGGTAAGTTTGAGTTCATTGATGCGACCATTATGTCAATCTGTCTTATTGAGGATTTCCATCGTTTTACTTGGCCCTCTACTTTACCAAACATGGTGTCCTTTTCTAGCAATTGGTCCTTCCTGATGACGTGTTTATATTGAACAAGTTTCTGTTGTGATCCATAGAGTTTTCATGGGCTAATTTTCAGAGATAAATCACCAGGCCTTTCTTCTTAGTCTGCCTTAGTCTGAAAGCTTTGCTGAAACCTGTCCACCATTGGTGACTGTGCTGGGTATTTGAAATATTGGTGGCATAGTTTCCAGTGTCATAGCAACATGCAGGCCACCACAGTATGCCCAACTGTAACCTGCGCACACTTAAAATTTAATTCCCATAATAATAGCTTTAACTTTATTTACCTTCTCTCTCCCCTACTTGGTTGCAGACTCCTTGCAACAGACACCATAATTCATTTATATTCCTAGTCCTTGGCACAGTACCTGGCACATAGTAGATTTTAATAATTTCTTGTTAATCGAGTAAATAGTTCCTTTTGCTTTTTTCAGGTGGCCTTTTGCCAATGATCGATTGTTTTTGTAATCATCAGAGAATCATAGCCTTCATTCTTCTGAACACTTATGTTGTTGTTATTAGTTGCTTTCAATTCCAGCTTGTGGTGATCCCATATGTGCAGAGTAGAACTGTTCCATAGGGTTTTCAAGGATGTGACCTTTCAGAAACAGATCACCAAAGCCTTTCTTCCTGGGCACCTCTGGGTGGGTTTGAACCACCAACCTTTTGCTTAGTAGTCCAGTGCTTAACCATTTGTGCCACCAGACATTCCTCAGCAGTTATAAAGGTATATTTTTGCAGCATGGATTTATTGATAGGTGGCCTGGTTTCACGTGTAATATCTGAATAAACTTTTGTAGTGTATTAATGAAAGTAGTGGATATAATTGAATTACCCTCCACTTGGATTGGCCCAGAACAGGAGGAGGAATTGCAAAGCTGAGCATCCCACTGTGTGTGTAGTAAAATGTGGAGGCTTAGCGTGATTTCAGACTTCTGAGTTTATTT